GCCCACCCTGCTGATGGCTCGCGTGGCGCTGGCTTTGCAGACTTACCACCTCACGCAGGGCATCGCTAAGCAAGCGTGTTAAAGGCTGATCCAGAAGTGGCACTTTGGGTCTGGGTAACAGGAAAATATGAAATAAAAAGTGACTCAGATTAATGGCTGGAAAATAAAAGTACTTCACGCAAGAGAAATATGAGGTCTTGCTTGCACTGTCCAGGGTCATATTCAGTGCCCAAATATTACCAAAACCAAGCCCTCTGAATCCAGCCTGGTGCTAGGTTCTCAGCACAACCCAGAAATATTCTTTCTTGAGCCCAAATTTTAAAAGAAAGGTCAGCAGTTCCACTCCAAGGCCAGCAGCCAGATAGTTCAGCCTCCAAGGCATCAGCACAAAACTGCTGCCTTCAGTGCCCGACAGCACCAAGGTTTCCCACTCCACGGGGGCCATGTGCTGGCCGTGAGCTCCCCACTCACATGGACGCTGACCTCACACGGATGGTGCCTCACACGGATGCCTACCTCACACGGATGTTTATGTCAACAGTCTTGCAGTCTTTATGGTTCTGGAGAGCCTCCCCCTTGTCCTGGACCAGCATGACCACATCAGCTTCCACCTGCACGCAGAGCGCCCTGCCCAGCGCACTGCACAGGGGAAAACACGGCGTGATGCTCAGGACATTCGCTGGCCATCTACTTTCCAAAGAGATGGTGACCCCCCCGCCCCGAGCCATGCCCCTGATGGACACGCCGTACCTGGTGCCCTCGACCAGCAGCTGGGTGTTGAAGCCCACCTGGTGCCCAAAGCCTGGCAGGGAGCGCAGACTTATTTTGGGGAGGGTGTTGTTCACAATTTTCAGCCTGGATGGTTGAAACAAGGAAAAGACAGTAAGTCACACATTTGGACAGGGGGTGCCCTGTCCCCTCAGCCCCCAGCACTGTGGCCGATTGCAGAGCTGCAGTCTCGGGGTCCTCTCCGCCCTGGGTCAGCACAGGTCCCTACCAGCCAGGAGCAGCTTGCGGCACATACAAGGCACCCTTGCATGGCAGGCACATATAGAACCTCCCAACAGCTGAACCCTTGTTTATGAACCCACCCCAGAAGGAGAAAGTGGGAGCCCCATGTGCTCAGACAGCAGGCTCCAGACCAGAGCCTCCTTTCCGCAGTGTGGCCCACGGACACCAAAGGCTGCTCAGGGACACTCATCTTCCACTCTCACTCACCCTGTGAGATCTTCACCATTTCCGCCAAGAAGATTGCCAACAAGACCATCTTTGCCAAGGAGACCATCTTTGCCAATGAGAATATCAAGGACAAGATCAAGGAGACCATCAACAAGACCATCTTTGCCAAGGAGGCCACCAAGGACACCATCTTTGCCAAGGAGGCCACCAAGGGCACCATCTCTGCCGAGAAGACCGCCAAGGACACCATCTCTGTCAAGGAGACCGCCAAGGACACCGTCTCTGTCGAGGAGACCGCCAACGACACCATCTCCACCAAGGAGACTACCACGGAAACCATCTCTGCCACGCAGA